GCGCCGACGTCGAGTGGCATTCGGCCAGACTTCAACAAATGACTATAGAAGCAGCAGTCGATTCCGAAACCGGCGATCCCGAGGCGGTCTGGGACGAAAAAGACCATGTATATCGCTGCTCCGAATGCATGTGGGAAATTGCGGACAGGACGTGTTCAAGCGGATGCGGATTCGAGTTCGATATCGTGAGTGGCGCAATGAGCGCGTTGAAGATTGTTTACCTCAACTCTCTTTCAAGGACGCTCTGGACGATGCGGAATTCATCAACAGTAACGAGGGGTACAATCCCGACCGCGTCTCTACGCCGCGAGGTGGCACACCCCTTCGGGAGCTTGAGCAATACGTTTTGCCTCCGAACAGCTCTCCGTACTCAATCGATTCCGACGAGTACGAACAACTGAGACGCCGTGGAGCAACGCGCTTGATGTGCGAAACCTTCCACCTTCAGTTCGACTCCGACACTGGAATCACTGCATGGGCCGATGGCGACTTGTACGACGAGTTTTCTGGGCCGCTCATGCAGCAAGGGGATTTCTGGAAAATCATGCTAGGACGACGGATCCAACTGGATGACGATGATCTGGATGGATCTGGATTCATGGAGGCACTACTGGAGGACGTCCTGCTGTTCCCTCTACCCAATTTCCAATGGGAGACTGTCGAAGACAGTCCGGGTCTCTGGGTTACTCGCAAACCGGCAGATGTGTCCGCCGACTCCGAGTCGGACACTCTTATGGACGAAGGAACACAGGAGGAGAGAGTCCAAGGAGCGGACGCCCTCGCTGTTCAAGAGCACAACTACGAAACATCGGATGAAGAGGATGTTGACGGCGTAGACTCGGAGGAGCCTGACGAAGATTCAGATGACGGGTATATATGCCGACGCAGGATGGGCCTGGGATGCTGGTGTTGAAGACGCTTGTTGGAAGTACTTCCCAGGAGAGGGGGCAGATATTGAGGGCGAAGAGGGTGATGCAGAGGAGGACGAGCTGAAGGAAGAGTCAGACGACGACTCGGCAGACAGCGACTTTGACTCGGACGAGGTATTGAGCGGGGACGAACAAATCTTCGGGCGCATCACCGTACAAACGAATTAAAGGTACATGTCGATAGTCGATATTGCACTGGCTCAAAAATTACGAATGGAATGCATTTTGTGAGACACTGCTTCCTCCCAAGCCACCAGCAGTCGGCAACGCAAAGATGAGAGTCTTCGAAATTCTGGCAATGCCCACACTCAGCGTTACCGACACCGCGGTCAGCGCCTGGGTCGGGTCCGATACGGTGAGGACGCCAGTCTTCAAATCGAACATGAAGGCAGCAGTATCGTTTGTTGCAATCGTGAACTGAACGGGGCTACGGGGAGCGAAGTTGATAGTTGCTCCACCCGCGAGCCAAACCACCGCCATCGCCTTCGCGTTGCCATCGTCCAAAAGCGCAGCGGCAGTCGCGTCGTTCTGGACCACAGTGAGATGCGAGTTTGAGCTCTTCTTGACAAAAGTGTCGTAGTCGACGCCCGGGAAGATGCTGTACGCCAGGGAAGCATTCAGCGAGCCGTGGGTAATCCAAGCCGAGAAGAGGTCGACGGTGGTCGGTGGCTGGGTCGATGTGCCAATGGCACTCCAGTTTCCAGTCTTCTGGCCGACTTCCACAGACAGCAGAAATTCGTTCTCAGAAGTGGAATTGGCCACGCTGTAGCCCACGTTGTCGTGCCACAACGACTGGGTGTCCAGACCGTGCTGCGCGAAAGACGACTCGGTTCTGGTGGTGCCGCCAAGGATAACAGCGCCATTATGGCGTTTTTGGTCGAGGACGGAGATGACAGAGGCGTTGGAGGCGGAGGTAATGTTGGAAACCATGACGAACTGGACGTCGTTGTCCAAGAAGAACCAAGCCTTTTGCCAATGGAGGGCCTTGGTCAAGGGGTTGGTGTACCGCATCGCAGCGACTCCAACTTGCCCGTCCGACACCCCGCCGACGAACTTTTCAACGCCGAGAGCCCCGGTCTGAGCACAAGTAAGGGGGGTTGCACCATAATCCGTTGTGATGCCTGGGATGCGATTCCAGTCCTAAAACAAGGGTCAACATTGTTCCGAATGGCTGATCTTACACTTACCATCGACGCAGCAATGTCCTTGAATGATACCAGTCAGTCTTATGCTTGGGTTAGAACGAGAGAAAAGCCGAACCTCGTATTCATCTCCCTGGACGTACGTTCGCAGAGCACCATCTGCTAAATGGAACCCAAATGGGTTGGCCAGGTTGGTACTGCAGCTCCATGAGTCCTGCGACAGGCACAGAACAAAATAAAGACCATACCACTCGCTGTTCGTGGCCCTGACAGAGAACATCTTTAGGGTGGTCACATAGTTTGAACCGCGTTGCACCTTTCGTTTCCGTCAGCGGCTGAACTGGAAGAAGGCAGAAGGGACAACCAACCATGTAGTCGTTGTCGAAAAACATTTTGTTGCCGAGCAAGTTCCCGGCGTTCGCAGTAGTGACGTTCTTCGACAGGTTGGTAGAAAAGTCGACCAAAGTAGAGGAGTTCCACTCATTGCCGAGGTCGCCTATTTTTGTCAGATTAAGAAGGATGCTACCGGTGGCTCTAGGAGGAACGCCATATTACGACCTTGTGTTTGAGAAAGATGGAATGGACCCACTGTGTGAAGTCGGCGGTCGGGAAAGCGATGAAGCGCCCCAGAACGGACTGAATGGACGTGAGTTTAGTGCGATAGAATTGGTATGCAACCTCACAAAGTCCCAGTGAAGTACTCCGGTGAGCACGTTCTTGTAAATCATCCATTTATCTCCGCTGAATAGCGTAGCCATGGCGTCTTGACCAGGCAGGAGAGCTCTGGAACTGAGTACCTCCGGCCTCGACCTCGATATCGACGACATCGTTGGTGCTATTGAGGATTAGTACAGATTTAAGGAAGGTATATGAACGCACAAGTCCTTCCCTGTCACAAATTTTAGTTGGGTTTGTGCATTAAGGACATGTTATGAACACGAACCATAATTCCCGTTGTAGCAGAATGCCCGAGTGCTGACCAAAACTTCCATCGGGGCGAATGCCATCTGCACGGGTGCCGGTGGTGACCGTCATTTGTCCGTGAACTCGTGAATAAGCATCTGTCAAGAGAGTGACATTCACGGTGAGCAGGGCAGAGTCGATTCCAATCTATTCGACGTTGAGGACGCATGGTGGAAGGGAAGCGTGGGTATATATATACCTTTGCGACATCCAGTGCGTTGGCACCTGTGAGGACGCCTATGCCGTTGGCAGGAACAATAAAAGTATTGTACGCCCGAGCCGTCATGGTGGTGCAATTGCCTAGTTCAGCGGCGGAAAGGGTGTCGTTTAGTAATAGACAGGACGTCGAAACCACCTCGGGCGTCCCGATGATGTTGGGAAACCAGTTCTATGCAAAGTTTTTATCGAGGAGAAATCGGGAGGGTAATCAAATTACGGTGTTCCACATTCCAGGAGTGCCGCAGGGGCACTGAGCGTCGCCGCCAAAGTCCAAACAGTCGGGGTTTGTGAAGTCGTTGGCGAACCACCAGTCCATGGCGAGGGCAATGCTGGCACGAAGACTTGCGCTCTTCACGTAGCTCGGGTCGGCGCCAGGTAAACCGCCGTGCCAAGCTCCCGCCAGCGTAGCTAATGCGGTCGCACCGTTCAGGAACAAGGAAACCGAACAGTACATCAACGCACCGATTCTGGTCCAGTGCTATAAGCACAGACAAAGGTTAGAGATGAATTTGGCATAATTTCAAAGAATCCCACATTTTCCGCGGGCCAGTTTGCCCGCTGGGCGGTACAGCCCGCTGTATAGTCGACATCAGGCCATTGCCCGCTTGAGTTGAGGGTTTCAAGCCTGAGGTAGAGTTTGTACTGGGTGGGACTATAAAGCGAGTATGGTACCATTGGGGTATCGAGGACACGTTGGTAAGGGCGCCAACGATGTTGGTGAGTCGGCGTTGGTGCAGAGTGTCGATGTCCGCTGCCGTTGAAGCGTTTATGGGGGGCGAGGGCTGGGCGGAAACAGAAGGTCGAGCTTGAAGAGACAGTGGTATACGCAATGGAAGACTGGGTGGAGGTTGGGGTAGCAGTAATGTTTACGGAACCCGATGCAGACGCGGAGGCAGAAACGGCGGATGCGCGTGCCTGCAAACGGCGAGCGAGGCGAGGGTGGGGGTCTGTTGCGGCGGAAAGAGCGGCGAGGTAGAAGAACGAAAAGAGAGAAACGGTCTTCATGGCGAGACCAAAGGTGGGACAGGCGCGATGAAACCTGCTGATCACAATTTTGAGCCTAATTTTGAATATTGATGGATTGCGAGAAAATCCTTCACCGCCACTGATGGTATGGGAACCGGGCCTACTGGACCCAACTATGGGTGTACTTGTATTTCGGTTAAAAAACGGCCACACCCTGCCGCATCCTGCCGCCCCACCTTATAGGCCCGTCGCAGGCCCGTCCACAGACATCTTGAGCATTAAAATAGATTCCCCGCCCGGGAATGAGATCCAACATGCGGTTCCACGCCGCCGAAATCCGGACGAAGAAACCACAATCCGGTTGCATTGTATAGATACTCTACAGGCAGGATACTACTGCAAAGCTGCAATACCTCGAACGCGTACTTTCCCAGCCGGCGCACGACATGGAAATGTTTCCTGTCTGCAATGCGCACACGAGCCCAGTATTTCCGCATGAGATGAATTTAGACGCGGGTACTATTTCAACAAGGCAGCTATGGGATGAATTTAGACGCGGATACCCTGCAACACAACAAGGGAAGCCGTACAAGGGACTAACGCGTGGCCCCGATACGTCTCGGACAAAGGTTCCTCCCTCGGACGCTTGAGCATCGTATAGCGAAAGATTTTGTGCCCCAGGCCATGGGACAACCCCAGCAGGCGGGGGGAAGCTTTGGGAGGTAAAATTAGGCCCCAAGTGGTTCAAAAATTCGTTCAGAAGCCTCGCAAAAGACTCAGCCGGCGCCAACAGGGTTCGAACCTGTGCGGGAGATCCCAACAGATAATGATCCTTCAAATCTGTCGCCTTAACCACTCGGCCATAGCGCCAGTAAATGAGTCGGGAATGGGAGGATGGGGGGCGGAATAGCGCGAGAGATGTCCAAAGAAGGAAATTCGTTATTTCAAAGAGACGCTGTTGCCAAACAAGCACACAGGCGGCATGCGTTCAATCGAGGGTCGTTCGGTGCGGAAGGTGAGGCGGAGGGTGCACAGGGACGCGAGCAGCGGCGCGAAGAGAGGTAATTGATCGTATTGATGGGATTGATGGGATTTCCGGTTTGGGCGAAGTAGGCAAAACTGGGACCCAAGACGAGCTTCCTGAGGGTAAGTGAGACTAGTGAGTTAGCCAAAATGGATAGGGGAGGGTTTACCAGTAAGTTTGTGACATCCAGCAGAGCAGGAAAATACGGAGATATACAGGATCCCACTGAAGGTAGCCAGAACAGCGATGCCGTGGTCGTCCAAAGCAAGCTCGTTCCGAAAGTGTGAGGCGTTCCGAAAGTGCGAGGTGGAGGTGTGGAGAAAGAATGTGTCTGGATTAGTTGAAAGGTCGTTGGTGCTTTTTGAAGAAATGAAACGGGTCTTTGGTAGGACAACTTGAAGAAGCCAGAATGCTGTACCTAAACGATGAATGGAGCCTCTCTTTAATCACAGTGCCTTTGAAAATTGCATAGTTGAGATTATACTTACCCGCAAGATCGAAAAGTTGCAGCTTGGCAAGTGTTTAAGATTTGACCTCCATCTTGCGCGCAGAGAGGATATGATGAGAAGAGAACAAAGACTTGAAAATCGTTGCAGAAGAGGCCGTTTTATCTCGTCGCGTCAGGCGGTGGATAACATCGACGATTGCTCCGAGTTTGCCGAGAGGCACGCCATAAAGTTGGGACATTGAAGTGGCTGAGAAAACAGAAGGAACGAAAGTGCGCTCGCGACGACCGTGGAGAGTGTGATGATGGATTCGAAGACGAGACCGGCCAGTTAAATCAATCGGAGAATCGTCAATGTATTTTTTTGGCTATCACGATGGAAAGGCAGTGAACGAGGAGAAAAACGACATGCTCTGTGAAGCTTGCTTGTCTTGAAGACGAGAAGAATTTGATCACAAACAGCACTCAGCACGTCCAACCCGCAAGCGCACGGCGCGCGCCGAGGACCCCGTCATGGCAGAGGAAGGTGCACTAGGTGAGTTCGACCCAAAGGACCACATGAAGGCTGACCCTACTTGCAGACTTTATGATTCGACGCGCAGACTTGGATCGAGTGGACGACCTCGCGTTTCTTCCGACGCGATGCGCATTCTGGCCAACAAATCCAGCAGCAACGGAGGACGAGATGCTGGAGAGCCACATCGCGGCCGAAGCGGGCATAGGACTTGAGGATAGCGCGGTATGGCGGGTGGGGGTCCAGGTACGCGTCCGTAGCCATTGACCAACCAGATGCTATAGTCTTCACAGGCAGGATATGAACTTACAGCAGCAGCGACGATCCGCCGTTTGTGCTCTTCGTCGACGGCTCTCTTGGCCAGTGGTATTCGGTGGGCTAATGCCCTTGCTAAATATCCGCGGATGCATCTTTGTTTTACGCGCTCAAGGATTCAGACGTACCTCTTGACATTATCCTGCAAAGAATTGCCTTTGTGAAGCTTACCCCGCCTCCGCTCAGAGTCGATCTCCGAGCCCAAGAGCCACGAGTCGTCGACTTGTCCTCGCGCTGGGTGCGTATAGTGAATCCAGGGACGTATTGCGGGGACCTTTGCAATGGTCATCGAGGTGGACGAGGAAATGAAGATGACGGTGCTTGTCGTGCCGCGGCTGCCATCTGGCGAAGAGGCGCGCCCCCCGCGAAAGCTGCACGCTCCCGACGAAGCCGTCTGCAGTTACGAAGGATACAATTTCCGACACGGTCTGCTCGTTGGGACTGGCGTTTCCTGGTACGACGTGTCGGAGGAGCATGTGAACCCCTTGCCCGAGGAACAGGATGCATTCTTCAGTGTCCGCGCCTTCTGGCCCCCGTCGGCACCACGGATGAACAAGGACGATCGCGTGTTTATACTTGACGGGCGACTGAAGTTCAACGCTGCGCGTGTCGTCTCCCTCGATTTCGAAAACGATGTCCGCCTCCAGCTATTGAATCCAGGGCCAGGGGTTCCATTCGCACCATTTTTCGTGCCCAAGGACGATGTGGTGGTCGAGTTTTCTGTTCAGGATTATGTCGAGGTCGTCAGTGGCCCATTTGCGGGCAACGTTGGATACGTCCAGCGCGTCGATTGGGTTGGAGAGCTGGTGGAGATTGCACATAGAAGAACAGCGCTCTTTATTCTCCAGGACAGGAGAACGCAACATTGTCAATGATTTGAAGCTTCAGCGATTCCGAGTCCCAGTTTCGATTGGTGCGTTCTGCAGTCTGCCCGAGACGGTTTTCCTGATCAATATGCTCAGTTTGAGGTCGCTGTCCGACACCTCCGCTTGATTGAGCGCGCGCAACACCCTTCGACTCCAGAGACGACGCGCAAGCCGACCGCGTACGAAGGGATGGAGGTGGTTGTGCTCGTTGGTACAGTTCAAGGGGTATTTCGGACGAGTCGTGAATACGTCTGCGGATGGCCTCCAGATCCAAATCCGCGTGGACGGCGTCGCGGTAGGTCACCCGACTATCGAACTCCAACGCGGCGAGGTGCAGGAAAGATTGTGAGTATTTCCCAACGCTCACTCAACAGGTACTGAAAGCTTGTTTCAAGTACGAAATTACCGGTTACCAGTTGCGAAGAAATTGGAACCCGCGATCGCTCTGGCTCTCCGAAGAGAGAACGAGCGCAGAGAGCAAGAAGAGTCGCAATCGAGACCGAGACCGCGCACTTCCAGATTCTCCCGCACACACTGACATGGACTTGGCGCCGGAGCCACAAGTCCAGCCAAGGCAGGTGCTGCGTCTAGGCTGGCAGGAGAACTGGTTGATAGACAGGAGGCTTTTGCGCGTTCGCCTCGACGTGAAAATCCAGAACACTGTTGCTTCAAATTATAGGCAGGGCAAGCAAGAAGGACGGACAGGATTTATTCGCGTCTTCAGCTACCGAGCGGAGGTTCCAAGCACCGAAAGAGTCCCCACAGTACAGGTCTTGCTCGGGAAAAGGCATAACATGTTCCGCATTCAAACATCGTATATCTTCCCCCAAACGTCCACAGAAAGAGAAGGTGAAATCAGCGCTGAGAATGCACACTCGATCCTGTCCGAGCCGGGAGCATCAGTCGTCATCATCGGCCCAGACGCCCTCGGTTGCGAAGATTACATTGGATATGTCGGCGAGGTGCTGCGTCGGGAACTCCAAGAATGGGCTAATGTCCTCCTGATCCGCGACAGTTCGAGGAGGGACCTGGTCAAACCTGTGGCGGACGACAAATTACGCCAGCAGTTTCCAGAGTCGTCCGTTTGCAGGACCAGTAGCCGTACTTTATATCAAAGATGGATCGACCAAAAATTGACGCCCTCAAGACGCCCTCCTTCTTGCACAGAAACCGTTTTGTCGCTGTATATAGCCGAATAAATTACCGTTGTGGTTCCAGTTGCACATAGATGAGCGCTCCAACTCCACAAAGTAGGAACCGAAAAGTCGGCGACCTCACCGCTGTATACCGCTTTCACCTTGGCCCACCCATGGTAGCCAAAGACACTCCGTCCCGTGCACTGCACGTATGCGGAACATGCAGCTTAAAAGGCCGCGCACACTCTGATTGGATATGAATTGAATTGCATTGTGAGGGCGACCAACATTGCAGCGAGTAGGAAGATAACACAGAAATACAACGATTCCGCTTGACCAGGGGCTTATTTCACGACTTGCGTCCACGGTTGGAATGATCATGCCAGGAGAGAGCGCTTTTGTTCCCCGTTGAAGGTGGGTAGATGCGAACGAGTCTGAAGACCAAGCTCTAATTCGACTTGAGTGAAGTATGGCGCGCTTGAATGGTGGCTGCGCGCGCCGCCTCGAGTTACGTTCCCGATAAGTGGGCCATAACGTTGCAGGTTTATAGCTGCCATGTTTCACGCTTTGACGATCATGGAAGTCGTTCAGAAAGCGGGGACCTTCCCAATTGGGCGCGATCACTTTCCCTTCCTGCGATGGACTCGTTAATACCGTTCACGACATCTGGGTCGCTGGTGGATTGCGTGGACAGTACGTCTACCGAGTCAACTGCCCTTCCGTGACCCTGAGCATTCCCACCACTCTCCCTCGCTCTCCGCCGCAAATAGGGAAGATGCTGGTGGTCTTGCGAGACGGAAGAAAACTACACGGCGTCCTGCGCTCCTACGACCAGTTCGGTACACAGCCGCTCTGCTGCTCTGCGTACATGCTGCCCGACTCACCGAAAGCGCCGCAGCCAACCTGGTTCTCGAGGACACCGTCGAGCGTATCTACTCTGGCAACGCGTTCGCGGAGAACTGGCACGGCTTGTTCCTCATTCGCGGCGAAAACGTCGTCCTGCTGGGCGAAATTGTGCGTTTGCTCTACTCCCCTATCCGCTGCGCGCGACTCAGACTTCGGGCCAGGACCTCGATCTAGAGGACGAGATCCCACAACGCCAACAGGTTGAGTATGCCGTACTCGAACCCTACCACAAGAACGACGTCGAGTTGAAAAAGCAACGAGAGGAGGCCAAGGCGCAAATCCTGTACGAGCAGAAGGGTTTCTGCAAGGAGGGCGGCGAAGGGGACGGGTATTAATGGCGTACAGGCAAGTGGAGGAGGATACTATTATCCGAGATGCCCTGACCCAGAGATTATTGGTCGAGGAGCAGAGACAGGCAGATTCATTACGCCTCGCAGTATCGCGGTCAGATACAATTTTGTATGTTTGTATTGCTGGGAAATCTAGGCTACGGTTAGATGGATTCGAGTATTATTTCGTCGACATAGGAAGGTAGGAAGCAATGCTACAAAACAAGATATGCGATACATTCGAAAGCGGTTGAGAGTGCAGAAGATGAACAACAAAAAGAATGCGAGAGTCACGAAAAGAGAGAGAATAAAAATACAACAAACATCTCAAGACG